AATCAAGAGCACAGTCAGTGGATGATAAGCACCAGAACATGATAAGCTGGACCTCTCAGTAGATGAAAGAAGGTCAAAAGGACAAATGCAGGGAATGACTTGGTGAAGTTTGTCTGTTAAGAAGGGTCATTTTTTCCTAATAATTCCCAATTCATTCCCTTTGTTTTTGTCCTTTTTAGCAAATCTGTTTGCCTGGCAGATTCCCCAGGAAATGAGAACCTGGAGCTTGTGGAAGTGCCTGAAAGCTGCCCTGTTCCTCTGCAGGGACACTCAGGCTGAACCAGGAGCCTGAGGCCTCTCTTGGGAAGCCTCCTCCGAGCTGGAATTTGTGCCATGCCAGGAGAGGAGGAGGGGGAGGACGATGGGAGCTGTGTGTGAGGAGCAGGAGGTTTGGGCCGCAGGACATTCCGTCTGTGCCGCTGCCCCGCAATGGGCGGCCGTGCCCGGGGCTCTGGGCCTGCCCCGCGTGCGCTGAGCTCCCGACACTGCGGGAGCTGCCCGGGCTGGGCTCAGGTTCCCCCTGGGACTGGGCAGCAGGCTGGGCTCCAGCTGGGATCAGCAGCAGCTGGAAATACCTCTGGGCATCTCCACTTTCTGCTGCTGCTCGGAAAAAATAATGAAGCGAGAAGTTGTGTTTTTTCTTTCTCCTGATGGATTTTTTCATTTTATTTGCCACTACAGAGGCAATTTGTGTGATGGCCTCTGTCAGTTGATTCTATTTCAGCAGCAGCAGCCACAGGGCTGTGTTTGAGCACTGCAAACGTCAGCTGTGTGGCTTTCATTCTGTGATGAACGGGCCAGGAGACCAGCTCCTTTTTGAAAAGGCCTTTATTGAACAGGACAGCTCTGGGGTGGGGGCCCGAGGGGTCACGCACACCACCACTGCTCCCACTTGGACACTGCAGAAAGAGGAGGATCTGTGCAGCTTTGTCACTTGGGCAGAGCTGGGCCTTCCTTCCTCACGGGAGTCCTTGGGAAGACTCGTTCTCTTGGCCTCGTAGTTGAGTCCCCTCGAGGTTATGTCAGCCTCTGGA